TGTTGAGCCATGAAAAATATTGCAGTGATAAGCATATAGTTAGTGATGTTAATCTCCAATATCCACTTGTAGAAAGATTTATTTGTGGTTATGAAGCACAAAATACTTGTCTCACAACATTATACAGTGAAAAAATCTTTGCAGATAGTAAATGTGCAATAAAGATTTATATACTTGGAATTATGTTAGAACTCTGTTCAGAAGAGGTGTTGATGTAGGTAAAGCAAAGGAACTACATTTCATTGATCATATAAGAAAGAAAATGGGAAGGAAGTAAAATCAACTTATAGCCTTGTTAAAGACAAAACTGATTTAATACTACTATAATACTATATATCATAAGGATGACTATATGTATTTATGTATCTATATATTACATGTTATATATCTGTAAATAAATAATATACATAACACCATTTCTATATAAAAATATTAAATCACACAAGACATGTTACTTGCCTCATGAAAAATGAAGGATTTAAGGGAAGAAAAATGACAGGATGTTAGTCTTTAAAATCAATCACATGTTAAAACAGTGTGAATCACAGGGTATTATAAAATTAAAAACAACTTTAATTAAAAACTGAAAATATGGTAATCTTTCTGAGGAAAAGTGAGAGATGGAGGAACTCTTCATTAAAAAAAAAAACCCTTAGTAGAAGTTGACTGTTAGCTTTGTTTGTATATAATACGCACATACATATTCACACAGACTGAATCATGAATTGCCAACCATTGCCTGCCTGAGGAATTCTTTATTGTCCAAGATGCCTGTGGAAAACTACTGTGTGAAATTTGTTCCAACCCTAGCTGAGCTAGTTGTCTTATGGGATTTTGCAGGAACACCATTTATCTCTCGTTGGGACAGCATTGTTTGTCCCATGTTTAATTATTTAGTCATTTACCTGCCTCCTCCAAGGAACTGAATGAGTCCCTAGGCTAACAACTCCTCCCCCTCATGTGTCCTCAACTTCAGTACAGTCTTTGGAATGTGCTGCCTGCCATTTGAATGAATTGCTTCTAGCATTGACAAGGTCAGGTCAAGGGCAGCCTGTTCCCCAAGCAGGGGCAGCATTTCTATAACGCAACAAAGAAGAAACCCAAGCTGGGAGACTTTTGCAAACAGTGAATTGAGAAACAGGAGCTCTCATGCAGGTCAGAGAAGAATGTAGCCAGTTTAAATGGGGATGCAATGGGTCATGATTTTTTTTTGTCCTTATACTAGTGGCACAGGCTAGTGTGGATTCAATGGGTGTAAAATTCAGAGACATAAAAGACAAGTGGCTAGAAGAAAATGTGCTGTCTAACAGAGATCTCTCAGGAAGAAAACTCATAAACATGTGTCAGGAGTTTAGGCACAAATGCTAAAGCATTTTGAATATAACAAGTAAATATGTTTTTGTCAAGGCAGGAAACTGAAGTGAGAATACAGTTCAAGATCCTATTGGTTGAAATTGAGTATGAGGAATACAAGGTTGGTCAAAAAAAAACCCACTTAATAAAGTTAGGATTCATGCCATTTAATTTTGAAACAGCAATTGTAGATCTTAGATCATGGAATTCCCAGAAACACATGCGTTCTGGGATCTCATTTGTACATTGGCCTTCTGTCTCTGCGCTACCAGCATTTCCCTTTCGTTTCAGTTGGTATACCAAAACCGATATACAAAGGCTCAGGTTGATCTAAACTAAAATGAATTATTTTCTTGTTTCTGGTAGTAATTGCATGGGTCTTTTGAGAAAATTATGCATAACTTTATCTGTACTTTCACCATGGATATACTTAACACATCCACCTCTACCCACCACAACTCTACCCTTCATTCCCTGCACCTTTCATCTCTCATCCTTCACCCCTCCTCCCCTCATCCTTCAATCCCTCCCTTCTGTGCTTCTGTCCAGGGTCTCCCTATATGTAGATGGCACTGATAGATCCACGTTCGTGAGTCCCTTAATGCTCCACCTCCTTCAGGGCCATCCCTGAGAAGCTCTAACCTTGACAACAGGCCGCTGTTGCACCCTGAGTTGTTTCTACTTCTACAGTGGCTCTGCAGCTTGGTGTGTGTGAGTGCCCGGCCACTGCTGCATCTTCTCAGAATGCTGGCACTTTATTTCCTTCCCTCCTCCCAGACTGGAAACTTTGAAGAGACATCCTAGATCTCCATCGTGATTGCATCACTGGGGCCTGTACCACATCTAGGATAAACTGCAGAGTCAATCGATGTGTATATACACTTAACAACACGTTCTCAGCACTGACCACACTCCTGGACTCCAGTGGTGCATGAACAGCTACACTTTCTGGGAATTGTGGTTAATCACCCAAGCAGACCACTTGGAATCAATATCACGCCTAACTCTACTACAAATGGGCATCTTGACAAATAACTTACTCTCTCATGAGCCGCAGTGTTTTTCAATCTGTGAAGCAAGGATAAGGATACTATGGATTCAATTTTTGGGGAACATAAGTTAATTTCATATGAAGATCTGAGGGAAGACACGGTAAGGAAAGAGTAAGTAACATAAATATTAACATAAGAATTTTGACCTCTTGGATCAGAACTCTAAATGACTGCCATCAATTTTACATGCCTCCAACTTACTCCTCAAACCTACTCTTCAGCCTTATTTGCTCATAATCATCAATGACATCCCTTTTGGCTTAAATTAATTAATCATCTTCTCTTCTTCCCCCTGAAAAATTCATATGCTAAAATTTCCTAATATCCAGGACCTTATAATGTGACCAATTTTGGAGAAAAGCGATTCATGGAGATAATCAAGCTAAAATGAGGTCATCCAGAAAGACTGGTGTCCTTTAAAATGGCAAGTTTGGGAACTCCGCCATGCAGAAGGTATGATGAGAAATAAGGAAAAGATAATCTCTGACGTCCACTGGGACAACTCCTGCCTTCAGAGCTTTCAGCAGAAACCAGCTCTAACCAACATCTTGATTTGGTATGTTTAGCATCTGGAACTAGGAAACAGCAGATTTCTCCATTTAAGGTACACAGTTGTGAATTTTATGTACAGAAGCCCATTTAAGGTACACAGTTGTGAATTTTATGTACAGAAGCTCCAGCAAGCCATCATTCAATCATTAACCAAGGTTCAAAGCCATTATCCACCATTAACCCCATCGATGGGCTCTTGGTAACAGGCATCTTGAGTGTGTCATCCCCACTCAGGCAATTATTTCTAAGTACTTAGTCCTGGGGTAAAGGAGGTGTGATTGTTGCCTAGTACTCGTGAGCCCTGGCCAACTGGCACAATCCACATTGTGCTGTGTGTATCACAGCTCTTCATCATGTATCATGCTCTCAATAGGTAACCAACCTTTTTGATTTATACTCAGCATACAATCAAGGCCTGTGTGTTTATTCATCCTGATATTGTTCACTTCAGCAAGCATGGTTTGGGCATCTGGCATGTGCCAGAAACGCTGTTGTATGATAGAAAAAAATGACCTAGAAGTTACTATTATCTTGAATAGCTAGTACATGCCAGACAATCCTCTCTGACCTCTTTTATTTTGTTGAGTCTCAATCAAGGACATTATATTAATTTACCCTATAGTTTTACTATGTTGAAATTAATGTATTAATCTCATTTTATTGATGACAAAACAGAAGCTCAGAAATGTTATGTAATTTTTCCATAACACATGTTAGGAAAAGGGCTTTACCTGGATGGATCGATATTTATTATATCCTACTTCTCTTTGTGATTCTTGCCCCTGGTACCATTCCCAATGTGCTCTCTCCACAAATCTTTCTTTGATCATGTCAGACAGAAATGGCCACAGACACTTCAACCTAAGTGAGTACTACCTTAACATTCATAATAGCATGCCTCTGTATTCTTGCTTTCTATATTCTGGAAGATCTTTTGTTTCTTAAGGGGAAGAACCAACTTTTCTAAAATTGAAAATGGTGATTATATTATGGAAAAATCTAGTGATTCAATGAAATTCTCTAAATCATTTCCTTAACTCCAAAGGTCAGATTTCTATATATGCACTTGAGATTGCATTGACAAAATTCTCTCTCTCCATATATATAACACAAAATTGGCATTATTGATATTCTTCTGTAAGCTTCACTTGCGTGAGTTATATTCTGCTTCAAGACCTTTGATTTTAATTATGTTATAGAGTGTCAAAGGACTTCTAACACATTCTTAATTTGGGCACCTGCCTACCAATATTTTTTTAAGTTAATGAAGTGAAACGGTGAAGTCATAAAAGAAGGAAGAAATAAATTCACAAAAGTTAAGAACACTAAGTGAAAGTAGGTAATCCCATGAGCACCATGCAAAATGAAAATATTGGAGGAAGGCAAAGAAGACTTGATAGCAAACCCTTCCAAGGCAATTACAATAAAAGAATAGAGCGCTACATCATTCACTAGGAATTCTTGCATTTTTGCAAAGTTTTAGAGCATCTAAACAAATTACCAAGAGATGAATAAGAGTTGAGGGATGAGCATCTTATACTGTACAGTGGTCTCTTTGCAGAATCCTGGGCAGTTTTAATACTAGTCTTGGTATGGATTTCCCAGAGAACAAGTAAATCTGCTATGTGTTTTTGTAAAGTAATCACGAATACATAATCATAGCTTGAGTTAAACACCTCTTTCCTTAAATATAAAACTTTTAACTTGCAACACCACCAAAAAAATAAGTTGGGTATGCACTTGTGAATTCATTCTTGAGTTTGCTGGAGTCAGGTCAATAGCATTTTAAGCTCCCATGAGAGTCCTTAAAATTGTGCTGGCCCTGTGCCTAAATATATAAAAATACAAACATTCTTAGCAATTAACTGGGCAGTATGGGGTAAATGAGATGAACAAGGAATTCACTGCACAACCTCCATTAGTATTAATGAGAATTGTGCAGTTCATTCCACCATCCTGCTTTTAATTTTCATCTCCTCTGCAGAGACCACTGCAAAGTATTTATTTTACGGCATACACCCACCCAGGACACCTTTGACTTACCTCGCTAATGAAGGATTTGGCTGTGGCAGGATTCATAACAAGGATGGCTCGTCTAAGAGTGTCTCGATAGCGATTCAGCTCCTCTATCCTCATGGTATCAAAGAGAGTGGTGATCATCTTATTGATGTTGTTTTCTACCTTTTGAAGTGCAACATCCATTCCCTGCTGAGATACTTTGTCCAAAAACTCCTGTATTCCACGGATATCTAGGAATACCAAAGATCAGCAAAGTGTAAATTTATAGCCTGGAAGGAAAATAAAAGCCTTTTCACTTACATCACGACAGTGGATTGTCCAACATTAAAATTACAGCGTTTCTGATGGAACTCTCAAATGTGTTTCAGATGTATCATGATATAATAGTTTATTTATAAGGACAATTCCTAGCTGGCACTCAACCTCTTGAACCAGTTCTTAGCAGGTTAGCTGGAGGTAAGAATCTTAAGAAATTTTCTGCTGGGTTGCCTTCTAATCAGGATCTTTTCTCTTGTGTAGATCCTCAGTTCTTGAGTATTTAGGTGTGAATTACCACTACTCAACTTACCTAATTGGTATTCTAAAGAATCTCAACTCTGGAAAACATTGGGACAAGATGGACGAAGGTAGGGAATACATTATTCTCCTAAAATGATGTGAAGAAAGAAAATCTTTTTCCTACTTTCCTTAACATTAAAGAATTATATACCACTGAAAACAGGTAAACCTGATTCAAGGTTACATCACAGTTTCTTAATATAAGCAAAAATGTCACTATATTGACATTTACAATCCAAATTAAAATATCCTTTTGAGATGTTTCCTTCAAATGTTTTCATGTAGAACACACACACACACACGCACACACACACACACACACAACCACACATAGCTGAAGGTGTGGCTCAAGTGGTAGAATATCTGCCTAGCAAATGAAGGTATGAGTTTAAACTTTCACACTGCTAAACGTGAATGGTGGTGGAGGTTATGGTATATATTTTTGTCTATTTCGTGGGAAAAATCTTTGCTCAAATTTGAATAACCTGGTAGGAGTTAGGTTTCATTTTAGAACAGAAAATATACCATGTGTGTGAAACAAAATCACAAGCATTCAAACAACTAAACATAGTTTTAAATTGATGATAATCTGAAATACATTGACAGATATACTCCAAAGAAGAAAAATTCTGAAAAATTTCCAAATGAAAAGTGAAATGTTCATTTCACAGTTAAAGAAAGTAAATAATTTAGAACAAATATGTTAGGTAGCCAAATGTTGCTAGTATTTCTTTCTAGCACCACACTGGATGGTGATGGAGATGATGTAAATTGAATGATATGGGTAGTATGTGATTCGGACATACTATGTGTTCATATACATGCTTAACTGCTACTATTTCATGATTGTATTCTCCATTATGTGTTCATGGCACAAAATATTGAAAGGAAAATCATTGGTGAAAAAAGAAACAAATAGGATTTAAGGACTTACAATGGAAGGATTATATCTTGAAACCTGTAATTATGTGTGAGTATACACACACAAAATTTGTCTCAAGTGAAAAAAATTAAAAATAGTAAATAAGCCCATACAACAAGAAAACTAACAGGTATAAACTTGGAAGGTGTCATTGAATTATTAGATAAGTGCGTATTTTCAAAGTAACTCTTGCTTTGTCTTTATAATTGCCTTCACTAAACAGTAGTGGAACTGTTATATGTTTGTTATCTGATAACTCTGATAAACTTCAGAATAAATACATCTTACATTCTTATTCCTAATTGCATTATATACCCAAGGTATCGCCAGATCAAAAGAACCTTAGGCTTAGTTAGAACAGAGCAGATATAGATGAATTGGAAGAACAAAGCATTACTTGTTCATTAACTATCAAAGTCACAAAGTTCCTATGAGGGTAAGACACTAATGTAAAATTTAAAGAAAGGGTTAAATCTGACTGGAAAAGGTTAACACAGGATGAAATATATGCTCATGTCTTTTGAACACCCTAGCCAGGTGTTCTTTGGTCTGAATCAGAATCATTTAAAAAACTTATTATGAATACAACAACCTAGACCATATTTCAGAACCTGTAAAATATGTGTCCAAATATGTGTTTGAACTATTATATTGCTTTCAGTTTGAATTACTTAAAAATATATCTAATTCAAGACACAACCAGAAACAGAAGGAAATAGATCCAAGATACTCAGAAAACATTGCATGAGTACAACTTAAAACTTCAGATCTCCTGTGTTCTGTGAAACCTTCAGATGATAAAAATAAAAGATCGAAGCACTGTCACCTGTGTCAGCTTTGGGAAGAGCGTGTTCTGTGAAGTATTCATAGAATATTGGACACAATGTTAAGTGCTGGAAGTACACCATAAATACCCATTCCCACAAGGAGACAGACAATAAAGAAGTTCACACACTCATCAACATTAATCACAGTTCTCAGAAGAAAGCATTTAGGATTTTCCTGTAGAGGATACCCCGGTATTCTTCTAAGGAAGAGGGTCTATTAGTCTATTAGGGAAAACTTGTGAATTTTTTCTCTGCAGAACTGGTGATCTACTGGATGAGAAGCCATTACTTAGGGAAAGACAGTAAAGATAATAGCTCCGAGGTAATGAGAATGAAGGACTGCTTGTTGAAAACCATAAAATAGTGCAGTGTGGATGCCTTGGCCTGAAACAGAAGAATTAGGTGTAGGTTTCTCAGAGAGGGAGGGAAAGATTGTATAGATCAGTGAGAAACACAGTAAGAGGTTCTGGTTTTATGTTAAATACAATTTTAACTTACTGAAAGTTCTAAGTAGAGATTCTGACATGCAGATGACTGGCAATAAATGCAAAGTGAAATTTAGCTTAAACCTGGAAGTAATAAATTGATCTCATAACATGCTTCAAAATTGAGCTTATAAATTATCTTCCCTTGATTTGAAATAATATGACTCCTTCATTTGCTTTTTTATTGTCAGAAATTAAGATCAATAATAGGTAAACTGTTATTTGTTGAGAATAGATCTAGAATTTTCCTGATCTTCTAATGCAGAAATATGTATAGTAGAGAAATAAATTAGACCTAATTAGCATATGTGTGTGCATATGTGTACACAAAATCTAGTGTGCGATTTAAGCTATTACAAAGAGTACATGGCTATTAAAAAAACCACCACTCTATTACTAATATGCCAGACTGACTAAAATACATTGAATACTATCTTAAGTAGCAAGCACAAAATCCAAAGTAGACTTCTGGATTAACGCGAGTTAAGCAGGAGTAGTTTTGTGTATTGAGAATGACACTAAATACTCATGATAAGTAGTAATTGTTAACTCTGATGAGAGAATGGTTTAGATCATGCCATTAGCTGCTCTGTGTAAAACAATCATTAAAAGAAGAGAGTAGGCCTTTGGTTTTGTTAATTAAACATAAGCATAATCAACTCTCACAATTATTCAGCTACATTATCTGTATGCTGATTAGTTGGTAGTCACTGAGATAAACTTTAAAAATTAGAGAAATAGAAGCAACATGGTACCTGACCTGAAGGAACTACCAGGCCTATAGCTCCTGGGAGTAGGTGTTATTTGTTGGTAGCAGAAAATTAAATACTAGTTTTACAAATCTTCAGTAGTTATTAATCCTACTGACCAGATAATTATATAACAGCAAGTGGCAGAAGTCTCATTAACGTAGTTATTAAGCATTAGATTTTGTAGAGAAGACCTCCACAGCACCATAAGAGATTTATTGTAAACAGAATAATGGCTACACTTAAATTCTTCAGTTTGTGACAATTCTAGGTTGCACAGCAAAGAGACAGAAACTCCAAAGGCAGAAATGATTGTGGAAAAATATTCCTGCTATTTATGTGGATCACTGGGAAGTTAAAATTGGGAGAAGGAAATAAAAGAATTATAAAGGGAGGCTCCACCCTTGCTGAAATGCCTTAAACTTCTGGAGTGTTCCAAGAGATGCCTCCTTGTTACATTTGAAGATTAGGAAAGGGATTATAAGTGAAGAAAGGTGGTGTTTTATTTTACAAGCTGGAAAGGGCAAGGAAATGGATTTATAACCCCCTCCCGAACCCCCAACAACCATCAGAAGGAAACACAATCCTACTAGAACCTTGATTTTAGCCTGCTATGATCCTTGTTAGACTTCTTACTTACCAAACTGTATTTAGCTTTGGTGAAAGCTTCTAAATGGTTGGTAATTTGTTATACAAGCAATGGACACCAATACAGAACTATATTTCAATCTTTAAGTTGGTATTTTTAAAAATTTGGTTGAATTTTATTTTGGAATTATCTTGAAAACTTGCTGAAAACTGATGAACCTAACCCCACTTCTCTGCACTGGCTTAATTCCAATCCATCGCCTTCAGATTTAGTAATCTTGGAACAAAATTTGAGGGTGGACTTGACTTCCCTTCCTTCCTTCCTTCCTTCCTTCCTTCCTTCCTTCCTTCCTTCCTTCCTTCCTTCCTTCCTTCCTTCCTTCCTTCCTTCCTTCCTTCCTTCCTTCCTTCCTTCCTTCCTTCCTTCCTTGTTTTGTGTCAGTACTGGGGCTTGAATTCAGGGTATGAGTGATGTCCCTGAGCTCAAGGCTAATGCTCTACCACCTGAGCCCAGCTCCACTTCTGGCTTTTTAGTAGTTTACTGGAGATCAAGAGTATCATGGACTTTCCTGCCTGGGCTGCCTTCCATTTGCAAATCTTAGTTCTCAATCTCCTGAGTAGCAAGAATTACAGACATGAGCTGCCAGCACTACAACTGCTTCCAAAGCATCTGTCATAAGAGAATAACTGAGGAACGAGTGGTACAATTTCTTGTTTCACAGACTCCTTTAGAGACCCACAAGCATTATTCATTCTTTCCTTAGTCAATGTGTGCATCCAAACTTTCAGCATTTCTTGATTATAGACTATTAGTCTAATCTATTTGATTCCTTTAAGGGACTTAGGACCTTGGTGAGTTTGCAAGGAAAGCACTCTACCACTTGAACCCATGCCTCCCTCCTCCCCGCATTTTTTTGCTATCCAGACTGCATAAAAAGTATGGCCAGGTGCCAGTGGCTCACACCTGTAATCCTAGCTACTCAGGAGGCTGACATCTGAGAACTGCGGTTCAAAGCCATCCCTGGCAGGAAAGTTCCTGAGACTCTTATCTCCAATAAACCACCAGAAAACTGGAAGTGGTGCTGTGGTGCAAGTGGTAGA